ATTTACTCTACTCTAATTATAGTTGTACTTGAGTAAATGACCGGTATATGTAAAAAGAAAATATTGCATTCCTGACAGTGTAAGTCAGAAAAAATTTTCCTATTAGTGCCATACGGAGTTAGTAACTCCGTTTCTTCTTGAATTAATTAACAAAACGGAGTTCCCTACTCCGTGTCTATTTTATTCCCACCCATTTTATCTCTATCCCATGATTCCCATCCCTACTACTCCACTAGGCTACTACGCTGACACCAAAATAAAAAATCTCTCCCTTTACATAATTCATTCCCATCCACCCATTTTCCTTGCTTTTTCTTTTCTTTTCTTTTTTTGTTGTGTTGTTTTGTAAAGAATACAATATTTTCCTTTCATGCATAGTTCATCCGTCCGAGAGTATTTATCCACTTTTATTTTTATACACCATCTAATACACTTCTTTAATCCATTTTATCTTGTAATTTGTATATTAAAAAATTATAGAAATTATATATTAATAATCTATATGTTAAGACAAATCACACATGACTATATTTAAGCTTACACATTGAGAAAATTTGATGAGTTAAAGTGCTTAGATGAACCGTTCCAAAAGTCAAAGTGGACAAATATAGCGAGACAGATGTAGTATACTTGAGCAAATGACCAATATATGTAAAACTTTGTTTATACTCCCTTCGTTCCTAAATATTCACAACATTTGCTTTTTCAGTAGTCGCGGGAACTTTTGTTTATTTCGACATTTTCATTGGTTATTTGATAAAATAAAATATTCTTGATACTTCTTATTTCGAAGAACTTTTCATATAGTTTTTTTATATGTAAATTTTATTTTTTTATTTTATACCAATATGTAAATAAAATAAATTGAAAAAACTTGATATTTTGCCTAGTGAATACAAATGTGGCAAATAATTTGGGAGGGAGGGAGTATATATGTATGTAAACTTTACTTGTTTATTTAAGTAATGTATGTAAACAATTTACCGGTAGCCATTATATTTAGTATTTTCCTTTTCTTTAATACATTTTATAGAAATCACCATAAATAGAACTAAAACATAGAAAAAAGTATCAAATTAGGATTTTCATGTTATTTTTTTCGAAATAGGACTTTGCACTGTGGTAATGTGACTTGGTCATGTTGTAATGTGGTAGTGTACATGTGCCTATTACTATACTTTTTTAGTAATGTATATGACCACATATGATAATACAGACCAGATTATGGGGTCAAACCATGGAACTGTTGTTGATTTGCAAACACAATCAATGATTCACCAATTTGTTTTTAGTTCATGTATGTATTCTGGTCCTTCAAGGCATTCATAGATGGATTTTACTATTATCTTCCAGTTATTTTAGTGGATGGAACTCACTTATACGTCAAGTATAAGGATGTTTAGGTACAATATATTTTCCTATGAGTGTGTGAAAACATATTAAAAAATGAAGAAAATAGGCTTTACTGTCGTGTTGTGAAGTACCACGCACAACAAGAGATATACTCTGTGGTGTTGGATGAATCATCCTATATTACTCAGCAGGAGACATTTACGATGAACTTAAATGCACGAACATGTAGCTATGGTCAATAGGTAATATTTCACATCCCGTGCAGTCATGTCCACAGTATGTCATTACTATAGTGTCACTGTGCATCATTTGATTCCGAATGTTTTTTTCGTGCATCATTTGATTCCGAATATTTTTTTCAATTCAATCCTACATCAATGCTTACTTTGAGGAATAGCTATGTCATTAATTTCTGTTATGTCTAAGTTTATGTATTATTAATTTAAAATAATTTAGGAAAAATTTATACAAATACTCTCAGAAATTTGGAATTTTACAATAATACTCCCAAAATCAAATAAAGACATTGATGCTCCCAATTAAGTTTTAAGTTTACATCATTACTCCCATTTTGCTTAATCAATTTTTCTAATTAGTGTTACATATAATTAATTGATTGTGCTTAATCAATTTATAGTTCACCTCTCTTCCCATAATAGGGGGGTTTAGAGGGACATACATATTAGCACAAATATTATGCTTGCAATTCGGACCCGGATGACTTTCTTTGTTTGTTGAAGATGAAGACCCGAAGAACTCCACAGATTTGAAGCAAATCCTTGCTTTCGATGGTTTCTCAATAAAACATCATAAACAATTGACATCTTTCCTTATGAGAGAGACTATATGTGATATGAAGAAAAGTCATTCGTAAAGATTTACTGTTGAACCTTGGGTATGAAGAATGGAGATGGATAAATTTTGATTATACTGTACTCCGTATTTTTTTGAACTCGCGAATGGTTATTACTCCTTAAAATAGAAAATACAAATCAAATTTGCCAACTAAGCTCATTTAATGACACCTAAAAGTAAGAAAGATTGAATAGGTACAATGGGAGTAACCATGTAAACATAAAATTTAATTGGGAGCATAGGAGTCTTTATTTGATTTTGGGAGTATTATTGTAAAATTCTGAATTTCTGGGAATATTTATATAAATTTTTCCAATAATTTAATGACAAAGAAAAGTATAAAAAAAAATTTAAACTAAAAAAAGTTGGAACAAAAGAGTGAAGGTAATTTAATGACAAAGAAAACTATCAAAAAAATTATTAATGGCTAAATGGATTAGGCAACTCTATTAGCAAAAAAGAAATGGAATAATGGAATGGAGTAGCCAAACAAAAAAAATGGACTAGTGGAACCGAGCCAAGCAAGAAAGCAATCAAAAATAAAAAGTATTGGAACGGATTAGCTAAATCCATTTGGCATTTAAATCAAAAAATTGAAACGGAGTTGGCTACTCCATTTTGGGAGAAAATTAAATCCCCTTGCTTTTTTGGAGAAATAGTAATTTAAAGTTACATATAAAGGAATGGTTTATGAGGTGTTTACACATGCAGGGAAAGCCCCCGTTGTACTTACTAGTGTCTTAATTATCTAAATATACTAATGCTCTATTCGTATTTGTTTAAACATTTATATTAATTTTATAAATATTTACACTAGAGTGTTGGGGAAATTAATGATAACTTGGATGAATCGAGAGTTGTGTAAACACTTTCAGATTGAATATTTTGGTTGTTCACTCCAAAATTCAATCGGATAAAACTCGAAAGTATCAAGAACGAAATATGAGAATTGCTGTGTCTAAAACCGAACGAAATTCGACCATGCCCAGGGGGATTTTATAGACTAGGGGTGAGAAGGAGAAGACACCATTCGCGGCTATTACCCAAAGCACGCAACTCTTCGCGCGGAAGTTTCTTCTTCAAAATTCGGTCCTATCCATCGAATTTTTCTTTTAAAGAAAATTCGAAATTAAAATTCTAATTGAATTTTTTAACATAGCATCTCGACCCCAGCCAGGGGCTCTGCCCCTTGGACCCCGCAGGGGCTGCCGCCCCTTGAACCCTGCTCGGGGGCGCTGCCCCCTTGGAACCCCCGGTGTAACGGGTTTTATATCGTAACAAACTCAATGAAGCGTGCACTCCGCACCGCCAAACTTCTTTGATGATTATTAGGATACCATTGGTCGTAGTTTTTCCAATTACACTAAAATATATATAACATAGAGTTCATCTTTCATGGACATTAAGTTGAACATTTACAATAGCATCAGTTACACTATCCCAGTGTCTGTAATATGTAACTAATTGAGAATAATTGAAATATGTAGTTGTTTCAATGAAAATTGAACACACATCATAACATTCTTAACTTGCGTGCTCAAGCATTATTCAACCATACGAGCATGGGCCGATAATGGCAAGTAAAAAAATGAAATTCCACGTGGTGAGATAAAGTGTTTTAACCAATCAAAATCGATCAGTCTAGTCAACGTGTGACAAATGAGTGGATTGACATTCCTTCTAATGACAAGTAATTGTTTTTGTCAGTTTTACAATTTTTTAAACGTATTTTAACTATTAAAAATTATTTTACTTATCTTTTTTCATAAAAATAGATGTACTCCTTTTTAAAAAAGCTTCTTTGTTTGCATAAAATAAAATTTAAAAAAAGCCGCCTTGCAGCTTCCTAGCCAAGCATGGCAAAACCTCTTAGCCACGCGAGGCAAATGTGATATTGGGATGATGTGGCAATGGCAGGCAGTTGCCTCGCAAGTGTCGCTGTTCTAAGTACACCTTGCGTTAAAGAAAAGGCACCGTGTTGACATAAGAGTGTGCCATATGTATCATGTGCCGATACTATATTATACTCCCTTCTTCTCCCTAAGATCTTCTCATTTTTGACTTTTTGTAGTTTTTAAGTAGAGTTGAAAAAAAGTAAAAGTTTACCATAATATCCTTAATGAAAATGGGTGGAGTGTATTAAATGAGGTATGTGAGGTGTAATAAATAAAGTAAGTGAGGGTAGTTGTGGTATTTTAATTGTTAAAAAAGGTAATGGAAAGATCTATGGTGAACAAATAAAAAAGGCCAATGAGAAGATCTATGTGGGCGGAGGGAGTAACATGAATGGATATGTTTCCATGTATGTATAGTTCAATTCGTGAAGACATTTTATTCATAATCCTCTATATTTAAGAGGTGTTTCTATATTTGGGAATTATTTCACCGTAGATCCTCAAAATGATTAATCGTGGAATAGTTTCCAGATATAATACTCCTTTCATCTAGGAGAGTTTATCCAATTTTAACCTTTTACATTCAGCTAAGAATAAGATTAATATTTGGCTTGTAATTAAATAAAAATCATAAATTGATACTCCGTAATTAGATAAATTAATAGTTTGAAGAATTTTATAAGATATATCCAATATAATTATTTTTGCATCAATATCTATTATTCCGTATAATTTTTATTTAATTTATAATCAAATTTAATAATTTTTTTATCACAAAAAATAAAAACTAGACAAAAATTCTAAAAGAGAGAAAAAAATGATCTTAAATCTAAGGGCCATAAAACCGGCGGTGGGGAGAGCCGAAAATAGAAACCCAATAGCGCAAATTAGGAGAGAGTTTCCCACTTCCCACCTTCTTTCCCTCACCTCCAAGCCACCCACCCCCACTTTACCCTACCCCAACTTCCCTCTCTACCCATCATCCACCCATCATCTTCCCCCCTGTCTCTTTACAATTTCCGTTTCCAATTGCAGGCCGTCTTCTCATCCCTGGAAAAGGCTGTTAATTTATCATCTGAATCGAGAAAACTCGGATCAAGAACGCCTGTTTTGATTTTTAATTTTCTCGCTTGAATTGGTGGAGCTATCAAGTTATTGTTTATATTATTGTATAGATTGGCATCGAACCTGAAGGATAGAGCGCGAGAGAGATAGGGGTTAGGGTTGCGTAGTTATGGGATTGGGCGATGTGGATCTTCTGGAGGAGCCCGGACTCGGAGGAGGAGATAAAGTTTCGGCCGCTGTGTCGTGTTCAATTTGCATTGAAGCGGTGACCGATAATGGGGATAGATCTTGGGCGAAGCTTCAATGCGGTCATCAATTCCACCTTGGTTAGTTCTGTTTCCAGCAATATGTTGCTCGATTTTCTAATTGAGTTTTGGTGATTTCCGGATCTGGGTTTGATTATCGTGGGATTGTCAAGGGGAAAACTTCAATGGGATGTATTGCTTTTTTTGGGATATCTTAGTTCTTCTGCGTTTCCTGTTTGAAACGCATATGGTCTTGGGCTGATATGCTCTGTAAATCTAACTGAGTTAAGTGGAGGATTTGCTGCTGCATACGTTGTGCACTTTATTTCTGTAGAAACTTTTTTCTTTCGTTGTCTAAATCTTTTGCAAGGTTGGGTAATTAAGTGAGGATATTTTGAGGTCTTGATTCTGTGTTATCAAATTCAAAGCTTTTTTCTTTAAGTCCGTATTCCGGAAACCTGTATTAAAAATCAAAGCTTTTCTCTGTATGTTCCCCAATGCAAAGTATCACACACAATTAAGTGGCAAAATTGTAAAATTTCACAAAGGTTTTCTTATAGTTGACCAGCTTTAGTTAATGTGCTTCTGGGACAAGATGATAGAATTTCACATCATTTAATCCCAGCTTATGAGATCATGTTAAACATCCTGGGATTAACATGATCAGATGGTTATCAATTTAGCTTAGTGGATTTTAATTTTATCTAGTGGTCATTTACGCCCTCTCTTCCAAGCTAGAGAAACTTCTTCAATTTGATTCTCTTCATTGTTTGTAGGAGGCTACTGTATTCTTTTTTTTCATTGAATAGAAATTAACTGAGTGCGCGATGCAACCTTTTTTTTATCAGGCAGGATTTCTATCAACTACTAGCAGTAGTTATAGGATATTAATTTTATGTTTGTACGAGGAGCAAGTTTGCAACAGTTGATGTTTTGTTTATTTTCTCTTAAAATAATATTATTTGGACGAGCATCAAGATTGAAGCCACTGAAAGATGGATAAAATTTGAATGTTTAGTTCATTACCTTGTTCTTTTCACTACAATTTCATGGGGTAGTTGTCAAACGCTCCTATATAGAAAATATGCAGTGATGCATAATATTTTTTTTGATTCCTACTAAAGTAAAAAATGGAACACATTATTTCTTATTTTGGTATTACCGTGTGTTTAATATTCTTCATAAACAGAGAACCATAGAAAGTTGATCACAGTACCCTTAACTAATGTATTACTGTTATCCAAGCGTGTGCATCAATAGCTAGTTCTTTATCATCTCGTTGTTGTAAATAGATTCATAGTTTTTTTTCTCATTCAGTCACTTATGTTCAACATGATTATAAAGTGCTTATCATTTACGGAGTATTAGTTTTGCTAATTGTTTAAATGGAAACTACTTGGATTTGTTAATTGTTAGCTTGTTTTGTAATTTTGTTTCTTCTACGCATCATATAAAGAGAGAAGCATGATTAATTCAAATAAATGCATAAGATTTTTTGCTTTGATGGTCAATTGAATGTGATAATTCTGAGATTTCATTGAGCTATACTCTAATCCCGTGTGTTTGAACGGTGCAGATTGCATCGGGTCTGCATTTAATGCAAAGGGAGCAATGCAATGCCCGAATTGTCGAAAAGTTGAAAAAGGTCAATGGCTTTATGCAACAGGGCATCGTTCATTGCCCGAGTTTAACATGGATGATTGGGCCCATGATGAGGACTTGTATGATCTAAGTTTCTCTGAAATGGTACGTTTATACTTTCTATTTACTTTTTTACCATATTTGAATTCTAATGTAGTAATGTTGTATTCAACATTGCTTACAACAATGTGCTATCACACTTCTATGTTTTTTTTCATGTTAAATAAGTGTGTTTTGTGGATGGATTTCACAATGTGTGGATGGATAATTTACTAGTACAATTAATGATAAAGTTGGTACTCTGTGCCCTTCAGTCTTACCTCCTCCTATCCTCCATCTAACCATCAACTAGATAAGCATGATTAATCTAAATCTTATACATGCTATCATTCTCATTCATGATGATCTAGTTTAGTGGCATTGCCATGATTCAAAAGTGAATTTAAAAGACTTGAGAAATAAGTCCATGTTTGAAGATAAATATTAATAGTGCATGGTTGAATATTTTGTGGGTTTGGGGGAAAAAGAAATGAACCTATTTCAAGGATTGTGATAACTTATATACTTCCTTTGTCTCATAATGAATATAGAGTTTGAGATGAAATTAAAGAGAAGTATTGAAATGTCAAAGTTGTGTGGTTGAAATTTGTTCGGAAGAGAGCCAAATGCTGTGAGCCACGAATTTTTTTTACCATAATAGGAAAGTAGGGAATTTTCTTTTTGGATGAAAGGAGTAGAATTTAAGACAACATGAAGGGTGTTCGTTGTAAACTACAACACTACAAGAAAAGCATACATAATCTCTGCTCCAAACAAACTTCACCATTGCTTTTGCCATGGGGTTCAAGATAGTAGATTTTGTATGGTTGAAAATTCGGTCTTCACAAAAATTGGCTTGTACTATTTTGACCTAAGAAGTGAATAAAAAATATATTGTTTTGAACAAGGATTTTGTCAACCAAAATCAAATATAACTGAACACAAAATGACCCGCTAGAAATGGGTCAAATCTGCCAAACCCAAACTCATTTAGACCAATCCACTAAGGTAAGGTTTTCAAAATCATGTTTTAATGAGTTTTTAATGATATTGTATTGTCATCTTACTTTTTTATAAAATTTGTATATACTTGAAAGAATTATTTTAGTCTGACATCAAGGAATTTGGGAGCCGTACAATGGTCTATTGGGCCCGAAGTAGATCCTATCCCCCTAACCTCCCTGCACACAACCCTTAGCCCCCTTGATTTGATATTGTATTGTAGCAAGTCAACGGTGGGGGTGGGGGGTGCAAGCAAAGGTGTCATAACATGACATCCTCACTTGGTTTAAAAGCTCCACAGATATTAATATCAATAGCCTAATTGATATACTATTATATTTTATCACAATTTTATGTGAGGATTTGAATGCTTTTTGCCGAAGACATCATCCTTATGGGCGAATCACAAGAGGATTTGAATGGGAAGTTGGATTCGTTAAGACATGTTTTGGAGTTGCATGGCTTCGATATAAGTCGCACTAAAATAGAGTATATCGAGTGCAAGTTTCGCAACAGAAGGAGAAATAGTAACATCAAGGTGAAAGTCGGAGAAAATGATATACCATAAGTAAAGAGATTTAAATATCTTGGGTGTCATTCAAGACAATGGAGAAATAGAGAATAATGTTGAGCACATGATTCAAGTTGGTTAGTCAAAGTGATGGAGTGCTTAAGGCTTCAGGCTTTATATGTGACAAAAAATACCTTGAAAACTAAAGAAAAAATTTTACCACACTGCGATTAGACCAGCTATGTAATAGAGTGTTGGGCAGCAAAGGGTGAGCATCAAGCCATCAACACAAAGTTAGTATGGTGGTAATGAAGATGCTTTGTTGGATGAGCAATTATATGTATGTAGATATTATAGGAATGAAGGTATAAGAGCTAAAGTTGGAGTGACACCTATTGTAGAAAAGATGGTGGAAACTCGTTTTAGATGGGTTAGGCATGTGGGGAGAACACCAATAGAGCATCCGGTGAGAACGGTTGATCAAATGGTGAATAGACATGTAGCTAGAGGAAGAGGTGGACCTAAGAAGACTTGGCAAGGTATGGTCAAGGGGGACCTCTCCGTGAATGATCTCACAAGTGATATGATACATGATAAGGTGCAATGATGTCGTTTGGTCCATGTATTCGGCCCCACCTAGTGAGATAAGGCTTTGTTGTTGTATCACAACTTTATGTGAAATACATGTGTTAGCATAAAATTTAATATTTTAAAATCAAATAATCATAAGTCGTTAAATTGCTTCAAACATGATGAAGTTGGTTTATGAACCCTATTTTCCAACCCGAATATGAACAAAGCCAAACACAAAGCCTAAAAGAATTGAATCCAATTAGACCGACTAGTTTGACAACTTTAGTTACACTTTGTTTAGAATGAGAGTTTTTATTGTAAATTCCATAAACGGTCCCTAGATATAGGTGATTTTCCATATTTAGTCACTACTTATCAAATACTTCCTCCGTCCAACAATAATGTTCCGTTGTGCACTACGATGTTTGGCTGAAGTTATTTTGAAATCATTCTATATGAAAAATAGTATAGAATTAAAAAATAAAAATTGCATATTTAAAAACTACATGAAATGATCTATAAAACTAGAGGTGATATGATTATATTATTTTATCAAATAGGTAATGAAAATAGGCCAACTAAGTAAATAAAGTTTGACCTGTGAATAGTGAACGGGAACATTATTGTTAGAGGGAGGGAGTATTATAAACGTAGTCTCCATTTTTTGGTTCTTTTTAACGGTGAGTCCTCTGTCACTTATGTCGTTAAATATTCAATGCAGCATTAAAAGAGTAATTTCCCACCCCCTTCTCTCAAATAAACCCCTCCCCCATCCCCAGCTATCCCTCAGAACCCTTAGCTCAATCTTCTTCTTCATTGCAGAACCCAAAATTAAAGTTACTGTCTCCGCCATCTTCGCACATGACAATATGAATACAGCCCCCTAACCCAACAGATGCGTATATGAGGATTTATGAGGGGCTTAGAAAATTACCTTTTTAACCGTGTATTTATCAGTTAGATAACCTCAGGAGTGACGAAGGACTAGCCGTAGAAAGAAACCAAAGAAATGGGGACTACGCTTGTAATATTTGATAAGTAGGGACTAAATATGAAAAATCACCTATTACTAGGGACTATTTATGGAATTTACTCTTGTATAAACCAAAAGTTTGATGTTTATACGAGACAATTAAGGTATGGTCTGAGGATTTTGTTAGAAGCTTAATAAATAAACCTCTATATATCTATATTGAAAGTTCCTGTCCAAAAATTATTCTTAGAGGGTTTACTTTCTTTAGTTAGTGTTGCACATTCCAAAGTGTAGCAGCTTGCCCTCAAAATGCCAATAAATCGGTTATTGGGATGATTGCTATTTTTACAATTTTATACAAATGCTTGTAATAGTGTATGATGTACTTGAGGTGTTTTTAGCTATTGGCTCATTGCATGAGCTTCATTGTGCAATACCACTTAAGTTTTGTTTTTAGTGAAAATCTATTAAAATAATTAATTACAAATGATATTAAAAATGATCGAAGATGATATAGTAAAATATTTGGTAAAATTACAAGAAACCTCGTAGTAAAAAGTCCACATCAACAACGAGAAAATCATCAAAATAGTAAGTTTAAGCATGACATAGTATCAAAGAGAATGGAAAACATATATGTGTAATTGCGTAAGAGAAGTTAAACTTGATGAGTTTGTCATAGAAGACGTGATGTGTTACATTGCCTTGTTCAGAAAGGAAAATTGAGCTTTTGAAAATGTGAGCCCGACTTAGTTAAAATATAGTACAAGTATTATGTGAGCTTCAACTAAGCCTCATTGCGTTGCACTATGAGGCATAGCTATACACCAGAGGTCTGAAGGAAGCTGAGGTACGTGTGTTGTCAAAGAGTTGTTTATCTAAGATGTGATTGTCGAAGAGTTGCAACTCTTGAGGCTTATTGTGAGAAAAGTGCAAAGGCTTTGAATTTGAATATATTTCAATTCAAGCAAGACAAAATTCAAATAACAAATAATACCTGACCTAGTAAAAATCCACCCATGGGGTTTTGGGGGTGGGTGTATGCAGATCTCACCCCTACAGAAAGGTTAGAAAGGCTATTTTCGAAAGATCCCCTGTCTTGAACTCAGAAACACAAAAGATAAAGGTGAGCGAAGTCAAACAAATGGAGGAAAACCAAGAAAAAGATACAACAAAGCAAATGAAGATAAACATGCTATCCTCTAACTACATTTAACTAATCCTTATAGCCCTTACACACACAAAGATCAATTGCACTCCAAAAAAAAAACTTCCTAAAAATTGACTCCCCCCCAAAGAACCTAATCATACCTAACTAAGCAAATAGTTTTAGCACTCTTTTGCCATTATCAACGACACTTTCCATCTGCCCTGCTACAGAATGCCTTGTATTAGGGAACTTTTTATCAATTGTGTGCTAATTTGCCAATGCTATAGTGCACTGTTGATAACATTGCTTTTCTTACTTACTGGGGTATAAAAGATGTTTTGTTAGCAGCTACTTGGGATGGAGAATTGCTTTATGTACCGCTGTACATATTTACATAAGCCATCCACATTTTGTGGAGGTTGATGCAACAATATAGGGATTGGAAGAGTGACCTACACAAGTTTATTGACATGGAGATGACGTATTAAAGTGTCCTTTGAGAGGTGGTGTGGAAGTGTTTGGTATACAAAGGATGCCAGTAGCATACATTAGAACGATTGATGGTATGTACTGTGGAGCAAAGACAAGCGTGCACTCTGTAGGGGAGAGGCTCAGATTATTATCCGTTAGAGATGATCCTACATATGGAGGTGGCCCTTAGTCAGTTTCTTTTTCCTTAATGATGGACGAGTTGACGAGAGATACATATCAGGAGGTGCATTGTGACCGTGTTTCGGTATAAGGACCAAAGTCATCCTTCTTGCTACTTTGTTGGGGTTCTTTATACTCTCGGATCAAGGCTGTCAGTCAGGCATGTCTGTGCTGTGACTGGTGTGACTAGGAGATCGAAGCTAAGACGTGGAACAGGTCTCCCATCAGCCAGTTACTTTATTTTGTTACTAATCCCCAGTGGACAATGCTGCACCAGAGTGAAAAAGAATAAAATAAAAGACACATTGCTCTCATTGACGGAACACATTAAAGAGTCGATAATAGGTTAGAGGTGTGGCAAACCTTGGAGTCTAAACGTTTCAAATATAGCACGACAAAGACGAAGTATATAGAGTGTGGTTTCACTGTTTCAGTGGGAGGGCGGCTAAGTAAGAAGTGCAGGTGAAGAATGATTAAGAACCCATACTTAAAAAAGGATAGGTCTTGGTACCTTGGATTTATCATCAAAGCTGAAGGCGAATTGGATTGGGATGTTGTCCATCATATTGGTGCAGTGGTGCGGGTGAGATAATGGCGGCTCGCTTCAGGCATTTTTGGGATAAGAATGTGTCACCCAAATTGAAAGACAAGTTCTATCAACCAGTGGTTAGCCGACTATGTTGTATGAGGCAGAGTGTTAGTCGGTGAAGAAAATAGTCATATAGAAAGTTTGAGTTGCAAAGATGGAGATTGTGAGGTGGGTGTGTGACCTTACGATGATGGATAGAGTTTGGAATGAGGATATTTGAGACAAGATGGGTGTGACATATGTGGATGATAAGATGCACAAAGGTACATGCATGCAATGAAGAGTACCAATGCCCCTGTGACTCTTGTGAGGATGTGGGGAGGTTTAATAGGCTAGAAGAGGGGTATTTGAGGAGGGAAAAAGGTAGACTGGATAAGAGTTGGGGTGAAGGGATTACCTTGCTCATGTAGAGTTCACTGAGGACATGATAGTAGATAAGAGCGTTTTGCAGTCGAGGACTATCATTGCAAGGTAGAGGTGGTTCTCTTTGTGTACATGGCTATGAGGATTTGTTAGATGTACTTAGAGGTTTGCTTAGTTTGTTTTTATCTGCTCTGCTTTATAGTTTCTTTTTTTGGTTTCTCTATATTTTTTAGAACTCATTAATCTTTGTCTTGTGTTTTTGTTTTGTGTTTGGGTTGGAGGTCTTTCTAAAACAACTTTTCTACCCTTCGGTGATAGAGATTAGGCATGTGTACAGCCCCACAGCCCATGCAGCATGGTTTTATTATTGGCTTGGTTGTTTTTTCATGGGTACACTAGTCATTTCTAACTGATTTTGGCCTTTATCATTTACGTAGTAAATGTTAGACTATAAAGTTTGAATTTATTGGTAAGCACTTGAAAGCTAAGAGCAATCCTTGTGTTTGGTGTGAAAAAGGCAAACACGGGTATTATTTTGGTTTAAATAGTTATACTGGTAGAACCTTGTATTTGAATGTTGATATTAAAATAGAAGCTGTGGAATGACTATGTATTGAATTTTGAAAATACAATTCACTTACTATTTCTTGTTTGTTTAATGCGGAGTGTTTTTTGAATGATCATATTAGGATTGTTATACTTCCTCCATCTCACCATTTTTGGGACATGAGGTAGTGACACGTAAATTTAAAAAAGTAGAATTGTGTGGTTGATATTGATGCTTAACTACTTAAACTGTATCATTAAAAAAAACTTAAATTGTTAGAAAAAGCAAAAGTGTATGTGAGAGTTAACTGTGGTAACAACAAACATAGTAAAGTCACAAAAAAACTGTGCCTTGGGAGGGTGTGTGTACGTAGACCTTTCCCCACTTGAAAGTAGAGAGGTTGTTTCCAAGAGACCCTTGGCTCAAAACAGAAGCACAAACATAGTATAGTGAAAGATTAAATAGAGTATAACACACCGAGTAAGAGCGAAGATGCAAGAAGCACATCTTTTGGCACTTACAGGCACTAAGGTAAGAGACTCAATGCACAAAAAGCTCACAAGCACTAACTACAGTCTAAGGTAGAACATACAAGCAAAAACTATAGACGACGGTCCAAAAGCCTGCCCAAATACTCTAGTCTTAGATCTGTAGATGTCCCAGCTATGGTCATATTCTCGGTGAGATCCTGAAGTTGAAAGTCATGCCTAATCACCTCGTATGGGGAAAAAATAGTGGGGAACACAAAAAGGTAAAAAGAGAAAATAGTGGGATAGATGGAGTACTTGGGTTAGACATAATCAGTTCAATTTTTTTGGGCCAGAATGGTAATTTTATAAATCTTTCTCTATTTGTGTCACTTCTCAATCTAATCTGAATATGAATTCAGATCTAAACATTAAATGAATGTATTTGCAATGTTTAGATCCAGATTCAGATCCTATTGAGGTGGACCTGAACGGGTCCGGGTTTTGAAACACAAAATGTTCAACCAATTGGTCTTGGGGACAGAACTATAGCATCTAACACTTAGGGGCTGTTTGGCAACTTCTGAATCGGTAAGTGCTGAACCAGTAAGAGGTCTGAACCATTAAGTGCTGAACCAGTAAGAGGTCTGAACCATTAAGAGCTAGTATATTGCTTAACTATTTAGAGGCAAATGTCTGATCAATTCAGATAAGAGGTCTTAACCATTCAGACTCTGTATAATACTTAACCATTCAGAGGCAAATCTCTTAACCATTCAGACATTTGAACCATTAAGAGGCTGAAACAAACAGTCTGAACCATTAAGTGCTGAACCATTCAGACATCTGAACCATTAAGAGGCTGAAACAAACAGCCCCTTATTATCTGTTTCATTTTGATTTGGGTTGAGTTAGTATTTTGTTAACTGTTTAGCATATCTTTACTTCTTTGTGAAGCCAAAGGCACTTATTTATTGTATCAAGTTAATATTTTCCTAATTTGTGCATTTGCTGCAGTCATTTGGAGTTCATTGGTGTCCATTTAGCGGATTAACTCGTCTGCCTTCATCTTTTGAGTAAGCACATATCTATCTTGAATTGTATAATTTACTTTGTTTTCTTTCTTTTTTTGTTGAGCCTTTGATTTTGATTATTTTACTTTTGGTCAAAACCTGTTAGGAGATTACATCTTTACAGTTTTTTTTGTGGTTTAAAAAAGTGAAAACGGTTTATTGTTAAGATAAGAGTTTTTTGTCCATTTCCTTATCCACGACCACTTATAGAAAGCTGGCAGTGAGAGGCAGGGTGCGGATCTATAGTGTGTAATTACGAGCAAGCTCGTCCACAAAGGGGAACTAAGAGCACTAGACCTTACCTTGTTGAGGTCTTAGGTATTGAAGCAAGACATTATGTCTTATTAATGCCTAATGGAATAAAGACTGCACAGTCACACAACGATAGAAACCGAACAGCCACAAACTCTTGTCCTAAAATAAGAGCATTAATAAAACATATTAAAAAATTACTTTGAATATCAACTTCATCAATAAATAAAAAAAATTAATCCTTACTCCGTCGCATAAAAAAATTCTGAATTTTTTTTTGTTTGTCCCATAATAAGGTTCCTCTTTCCTTTTCAGGAAGGAATTGAGTGATTCACATAGTCCTCTCTCCCCTGCCCAAAAGTCAACCACACACAACTCAACCACACACTTTCAAAAACAACTCGGGTTAATTGTGAAATCTTATCTCGGGATGAAGGGAGTAATCTTGGCCTTCAAAAACAACTTCACCATATAATAAAAGAAATTTATTTAACTTCATGGATTAAAAAAATAAAAATAATACTGCAAATGCCAAAGGGCGTCGTCAGATTGTAACCTCTGTTTCCAGTGAAGACCATCCATTGATGATGGCAAGGCTAGTGGGAGGAGCGATTTTGATATATCAACAGTATCACACCTCTTTCCTTTCGTTTAGCAGCTTAGTCCAGAGTAACACGAGTTGTGTTTTTTGAAGTGATTTTTCCTTAAACCTAGCGATCTGCAAGGTGTCAAGTGGTCGCCAAGCTCTCTCTGGTGAATTCTGGCGAGTTGAGGACCCATTATGAGAGCAACACACCGACAGGAAGTTAAGTCAATGTCTTAATGACTATGATCTACTGGGTGTGTTTGGTTTGGTCTGGCTTTGATTTTTTAAAGTTTAGCCCTTATTATTATAGCCTGAAGTAAAAACAGCACTCCAGCCCAATTGACATCACTAAGGTTGGAGTTAGAACATAGTCATCCCATATATTGCTGCTCTCTTTATTATGTTTGCTCTCTCCTGTTTGGAGATACTGCCACTCTCTATTGATTATTTTCTTAGTAACATCTTCAATAGAGAATAGCTAACTTTTCTTTTTCTACATTTGTAGTGAAGGAGATTTTGCTTCAAGTGCATGTAAGAAGACACTGTACTCTTGGATGAATAATGGTTACTTCTTTAAATCTCTGTTTGTGATAGGACCTTTTTACATTATTGCAGATCACGATCTTCTTGGACAGCATCCTCTTTTTGCTGAACAAACTGCTGTCTCTTCGTCAAATCATCCATGCCCATACATTGCATATGTTGGTATTCACCCAACTCCCTCAAGCTCAAGTGGAAGTATATCTGAGGGTCCCAATTTTAACAACCACTGGAACAGTTCAGGACTTCCAAATGAAATTCCAACCACTTTTGCTTTTCCAGGTGTGGATGTCCATTATCCTCATGGGTGGGGGGAGCACCATCCTTCTACTTTCCAAACAAGTAGCAGCCGGATTGGTAGTGCTGAACAGCAGCCTTCAATACCCTCTGTTTCTCATAGAGCTGCTAGAACAACAAACTCCGATATGCCGAGACCTGGATCTTTTGTCCACCCATTTCTTGTCAGCCACAGGTAGATACTCTGCATTGTTTTTAATTATGATTCCTCTTCTACTTGTGTTTGATTGGATGTGGGCAGTTCGCTTTTTCTATCCCTCATGTGTGTGTGTGAGAGAGAGAGACCCGAGGGGCACCAAGTTGCTTCCTTTATACAAATAAAAACCATGAAGTTCCTTGCTTTATACGAATAAGTACATCAATAAGAGTATAATGTTGTGGCAAACCAATGACAGTAGCAGTGGCCTCCACAATTGTTGTTACCTGCTACTGTGTGATTCCACCATGTGCTATTTTCCGGCACATCATCTCTGCGTGCTACTTGTTACTGTATGACCTCACTTCTGTAACCATATCTGTATTGCAAAACCATTAGCCCATAACCACGTTAACTGTCCTTATTTCTAAGTTTTAAAAGTTTACACTTGCTTTCCTATTAAGAAAAGGAGTGTGTGGCTCATGACATTTCTCTTTTCTAAACACCCATTCATTTTTTTATTTTTTAACACTTTAAATTCCATGAACACTATTTTGGGATAGAGGGAGTAAGAGACTAAAGATGCTAAGGTTGCATTACTGAGGGATTAAAGCAACAATCCACGCTCCGGGTAGTTCTTAAAATCATAGTGGATTCAGTTAGTAATAATTTTAAAAAAACATGAATGTGGTTTACATTCTTCATAACTCATGGTTGATCAGTTTTCAGGCTCTATTTTATTTGTTTTGTCATTCCTTTGTTTTTTTTGCATGTCAATTATTACAGCTCAGCTCGACCTGGGACTTCGGTTGGCTCACCCATGATTCCTCCTTACCCTGGAAGTGTGGCCCGGGCTCGTGACCGTGTCCAGGCTCTCCAAGCATATTTCCAGCAGCAACCCAGCAATTCGCCAGCTGTACGGGCACCGGTCATGTCCGGAGGAGCCCGGAGATCCAACAGTCACAGGGGGGTCCACCTGCCTCAAGTGGCATCATCCTCATCTGATCATCATCATCAGCCTGCTGCCGCTGGAGGGTTTTACTTCTATCCATCTGCTGCTGCTGCTTCGTCTGGAAGAAGCTTCCAAGAAGCAGCTGAAGGCCCTTCACCCCTCCGGTTTCGTAGTTGGGAGCAACGGGAACACACTACCACCACCTTCAACAACTTGCCACCACAGGTGGAGAGAGATCCGATATGGGGCCCGTTTTACCACCAAGCAGCAGCCAGCGGGTCCGATTCTGGTGCGATCAGATCCTCTGGCAACTTTCGCCAGAGACATGGGTCCGATAGGATGCCATCTCAGAACCGGTCATAACCCATTACCATCCGTGTCCTGAAAAAGAAAGAAAAAAAATTATGTATGTTCATCTGTTGTGCAGTCTCTCAAAAGACCACATGGGGGGGCAGATGTAAAAACTATCATTGGCCCTGAAAATCGACGTTCGTCCTTTCTTGCAGTTATGGACGACAGTTGTGCCCAGCCACCGTGTTTCTGTGCCCCTCTCCCCATCTGTGAGTGTGGTGGGTGGGGGTACATAAGTACGCAAACAAACAATGCCATATTTAAATGGCGGGACCGTTAAGCGTTTTTTCGTGCACACGTCTTTGGTTGCTTTCTTTTTTTATGCCTGTTTTTTTCCTGTGGTTGAGAGTTGGTATGTGTTGGGGATTCTTCTTTGGCTTCATTTCAACTGTGTACCTGGTTTTCGAAACTTGAGGAATCGCTTGCAGTATCAATTTTAATCTTATGTAAAATCTGTCGGAAATGATCCTAAATTTGTTCGTTCGCCCAATTATTCTCTCGAGTTTGTGAAGTTAGAATTATGACATATCAACACAAAGTGGTCAGAACTCGGAAAAATGTAGCGAAGGACAAAATTATCGAGACCAAAAAGATTGATCGGGATTTGATCTCAAAGAGGTTGTCTCATTTGGTCTTGAAAGACTAGACTAGTGATCTTTTGTAAAAGGACCAAATTAGTCCAAGACTAGTTCCAACAACCCGAAATGGTCATTTAATTTGGGACGGAAAGATTATTACTAATCTCTCATCCCAAACTAAAACAAAATTTTCATTTGATTTTTCATGTCTAAAATAAAATATATGGAGTAACACTTCTACTATTAATATTAATATAAATATATGCAGTAAATTATAAAATTATGATGTTTCAAAACTTTGTTTTCAAAAATATTTATTGGTATTAAATTTATACAAAAATTTAATACATATTTTTCATAATTTCTGGTCAAAATTTAAAAATTTGATTGAGAAAGTCAAATGAGGAATTCTTTTATGGATGTAGGGAGTATAATTATTATACAAATAAATCTCTACTTTAAAAAGAATGCATTTATTATATTAATAGACTAAATAATAACTTTATATCATTTCTTATAAAATACTCTGTACATGATAACAAATCAAATAAGCATATACGGAGTACTTTTGTCTGAAAAAAAATCTTTGTATTATGACTTCATTATTCAAACAATTACTCAATATATTTTGACCGTTAATAAATATGAATATAGTTTCAAATGTATGCATGTTATAAGAAAAATTTACGTATCCAAATGATGGATGATCTAGAGATGGAATATTCAGCTCAAGGAAGAAGCTAAGGCATCGAAAATCATGATCCTGGAAATAAACGATCATAATCAACTAGATCGGCGAACACATTGGCACTATTCATGACCATTCATGCCCCAACTTAAATTCACACTTACCCGGAATCCAACCCCAAAAGAACTGAAGTCGAACCCGACCTGACTAACCTATTTGCAAACTCTAATAACTCATGAAGACTGTTAGTCCCACCATGAAGACTAGAAATATTTCAGTTTTGAACACCACTGTTACTGCAGTTTCAAAATTAATCTCCACATTTCAGTAAATGATCACACCAAAAGTGTTAGAATTTGGTCATGTGAGACACAAGCGCATAAAATGACATAAGAATAGTATAAAATTTAACATATAATTAATTGTACAGAATATCATCACAGATTGCCATTTTTGAAATTTCTAAGTCCCTGAGTTGCTCTCATATGAAAGGTTCCATTGCAACTACTCAAACTGCTGGGGCTGATCTGCCGGATCGGAGAGCTTCGCATCGGATTTCTCCTGCAACATTTTCAGGAAAATGGTCTTATCTTTTCTTTCAAAAGGATGTACACTCCCCGTCGCAATTTAAATTACCGTATTGGTTTACGATGTTTGACTAAAATTGTTTTCAATTCGTTTCATATGAAAAATGGTGCAGAATTTTATTAAAAAAATATTTATATATTTCAAAATTACATCTAGAGTTCTATGTAACAAAAAGGGATATGAATATTTTATTTTATTAAATGAGTGCCAAAAATAGCTAATGAAAGTGATTGAGGTTTGATTCTGTGAAGTGAACACACAACTTAAATTGGGACGGAGGGAGTAGTAGGGTAAGGCACTTACAGGAGGAGGAGATAGACTACGACTACGGCTTCGGCTTCGGCTGGGTTCTTTAGTCGTCACATTCTTTACATGTTGAGGCTACAAAAGGGTGATGGTACATTCAACAACTTCTCATCAAAAAAACATACATAAACAATATACATTCAACCAAATGCTTCCAGATCAATCGAACACTTACCGATGCAGCTGGTGATTTAGATCTTGACACAGATCTACAAAAATCATAAACATCACATCAACTTTGAAAAAAAAATGGAAAATTCATCCAAGAATGAAGTAAGATTTGCATTTTGTGATCCTTCTTAATGCTTCAGAACGAGACCAAGATAAAAGAGAGGGAAAAAGAAATGATGCATCCAAGAATTTATATAAATCCAGAGTGAAATAGGATTTTCTTCGGTGATTTTTAGCACTGCTTCTAAACCAGACAAAGTCTACCTACCCACACTTCCAACCTTACATGACATCAATAGGCCATTCTTGGAAAAAAAAGTATATATACACGGGCGGGACAACCCAAGAACACATCTTAATGAATTTGAGAATAACTTTCCTTGATTTTAATAACACTGTTAATTACAACCAGCATCATCACCAACATGATTTGCATCACTACAGTTAAAGGATTAATCCGATTAATGTGTCACATCCAAGGCATTTAATTAAATGCAGTTTTTACCATCCAGGTTTTGTCGAAGGTTGTAACCAAACTATACAGCACACTGCCACAACCCAAATGAATTGCATGAATTTGAGAGCACCATAACCATCAAGTCCCTAACAAGCAATCCCCAGATCGCTGCGGAAAGCCAGATCTAGAAAAGAAAGGAAAAGAGCTTTCTTAAAATCGTATATTAACCACGAAATCTGTTCTCGACTTATCCCTCTCCTAAGACACTAATTATATATGAGACCCATCTTGTATTGGATTTGGATCACGTTTACAATAAATACTGCTCACAACTGTGATGAGAGTGTTCATTTTATCTTAAGGTAATGTTTACTTGCCTTGGACGGTCCACCCCTTTATGCAAAGTATTTTTAGGGCTCACAAAGCTGTGTGAGCTGGAGTCTCTAGTACACCAAATGCCATTCATAATTCATAGATAGCAATGTGAAGTATGTGAACAAGTAGGATGGAGCTAGTAGCAGACCCTACTGTAAAAATTTTCATCCAAAAGAATAAATTTATTCAAGTGCCAAACAGATGAATTGCCTCTTTGCAATTCTAAACACCTAAATGTGGGATTAAAAAGTTTAGTTCCAAAAACAAACTATTTTCTGCAAAGTGTGTTTTCAAGTACTAGGGAAACACTATCCCTTTGCAATTTTTAAAGCAAAATTCGCTAATAAATTAAATAGCAACCAGAAATCTTTGCATATGCTAAATAAATGAGACAGGCGAATTGCTGAAATATGCATAGCACATCTTGCTGACAATGCAATGCCAAGGAAAGAGATGCATATAACTCTACAGCTAATTTGAGTACTATAGAACTGTAAACACACTATAATAAGTCTGATGATCAAATAACACACAAGGCATAAACAAACCCTCAAGTGCCTGCTACCTTTGGCCTTTCAAAGAGGAAAGGAGAGGGAGGAGTCATGGGAAGGAAGATAGAAGGGGAAGAAAATGGAAGAGTTCAAAGTGATGTTATGTTTGGTTCAAGAAAGCGAGGAGAAACTAATATATAAAAGAATAGGTGGGTGTGAGAGAAAGTGGAGTGGGAGAACTACATGAAAAACAAGCTTTTAGCAAAGTTTATATTAAGTTCCCACATATTCATCTTCTAGTAAACCTTGGACGTAAACCTAGATGATAATTTGAAACACAAATTTCAGCCCAAAAGTGGTATAAAGTTGGCACTCGACTAAATAATCCAAACACAAGGAGCTAACAATATGGTGCTTGGAATCAAGGAAGAAAAAGGCATGCAAAACGAAAGCATCAACGCAATATCACGTTCACAAATATTTTGTTTATGATAATGTAACAGTTTGATTGAGAGTTGGCCAAATAAGAAAAGAGATTGAAACTCAACGAAAATTTTGAAATCTAAACTAAAGGTTCCCATAAATTAAAAGCTTGGGAGATGGCTATCAGAAGCCAAAAAACACATTTCAACAAAAATTGCAACCAACCTAATAATACAAGTCTTCCTAGTTCTTATCAAGGTTTTGTTGAGCAAAAACTAGTTCAAGACCTTATGTGCGGAAAGTAAATCAAAGTAGCAATATTAATACTCATAAATAAAGATCAATATACAATGAAATCCACAAAAATACAAAAATGTGCAATATAAATACCTTGAGCGAACAGGAGAGACGGACCTTGAGCGCGATCTAGATACTGATCGACGAGAACTTTTTCCCCTTGGGGATGCACTGTAAAGTGTAAACAATAGTGCATTAGAGAACAAACATTTGGAACTGATAACAGAGCTCCATTTGGAGGTGAATAACAAACCTTACGCTCTGACTTCTATGGCGTTTGGGACTTCGGCTTCTCGAGTAACTTCTGCTCCTAGAATTATATGGACTAGGACTCCTGGACTTGCTTGTTTTACCATCATACTTCTCAACCTAGAAGCATACTGGATTATGAGAAAGTTATTCATACATACATAGTAAAAGGAAAGATAAATCAAGAGAAAAACAAACCCGTATATAAGAACGAGACACTTGGTTTTTGAATTGGGAGTCATCTAACTTCTTTATCTGGATTAAATAAAAAATGTGCTATTATAAAACTAGGAAAAACTAAAAACAACTGTAGAAAAGTCTACTGACTAAATAATTATAACCCCGGGATTGTGTTATCTTGAGTGCATTACTAACTTACCGCATACTTCATGTCATCAGAGTTTGTATAATCCACAATTCCCCTTACACCTTAAATAAGAGAGTTCTAAAAATCAGGAAAACAGTGAATATGAGTGGATTTGAAACTGAATGAGACACGCTATGCAATTACCATCACGATCCCGGTAAACTTGAGAGAAGCAGACATCTCCAGCTCGGCGCATGTGATCCTAACACAACCAGTAAAAGTAAATAACATTATGGCCAACATCATATAGGGCATGTTGAGGCAGCCTTTGGCTGATTGACTAGTAAAAAACCAATATGGTCAAATCAGCCAAATATATGTTTGGATGCCGGCATTTAAAATTGGCTTTTTTGTCCCAAACGGCCAAAATCTGAAAAACCAGCATGCGTAGCTTTTCTACTTGACCTTTTCCTTCAATATCTAATTTTGCCCC